TGCTCTGATGGAGAGCAATATTATAGTCTAAGTTATCACAGATGTTCTCCTTCCCATAAACACATAAAAATACTGAATAATACATGCTTTTTAAATGAGAAAATATATCACAGAATTTAAAGCTAGAGATGTAGAAAGAGGGACCCTATGTAATATAGGGGTCATGAAAACTGGGATTCTTACATGTATTTGAAAAGAAAATCTTAAGTTCTGAGCCTGAAAAAATAGATCATAGAAGGATTAGAAAACTCAGCCTACTGTTCTATAAGAATAGTAAGGAAGCCTGCTATTTCTCTCTCAAGCAAATCTGACACCTGAGGTTTGTTTGTGTGACAGTAATGGCACAAAGACAACATGGATAAGGAACAAACTCCTAGACCCTTGAACTGTTACTGATCAAAAGCATGATTTGTGTTTTCTTGTCAAGAATTTAAAGGTGGTTTCCGCTAAAAAAAAACAAAAACAAAACAAAAAAAAAACAACTATTCTTCAGTCTACAAATGCCCAATAGGTAACTGAAAGTAGAATAAACCTTAACTTTCATTTTTGTATCATTTCTTACTTTTAAACTTTGGATATACGTACTGCTCATTTAAGAAAAGCTGAGAGAACAAAGTTTACTAACTCTAATTTTACCTAGCCTATTTCGTCCACTTTGCAAATAGAAAAGCAAGGTGGTCACACATGCCTGTAATCCCTGCAACCGGGGTGCTGAGGGAGGAATGACACAAATTAGGGTGTGGCAAAACTGGCTGGGGAAGTAGGTGTAACCTGTTCATTTCAAGATTCCAGAATACATGGGCAGAATAGCTCCCAAAGCCTGGCATGTGGACTTCTCAAGAGAGCTCCAGGCAGTTTTCAATACGATGACCTGGACCTGATGTCAGCCTCAGGTGGGGGATTCCAGTACCACCTCTCAGAACCCATATATAGAAGTTCTCACAGGTTTCCTCAAGATTTAGATGGCATGAAAGGACACAGAGGCTAAGAAGAGCTCCCTATCATGGCTTTCTTAATAGCCCACCCTGTATCCTCCAGGGTGTACTTTCATCTTGCTTTCTTCCTCTTTTACTTGGCCCAAGCTCTATCTGCAGAGCCAGTTTCCCCCTCACTTTTCAATTTTACTTTCTCTAATAAACTTCTTCACTGTTTATTTGCTTGTTTCATTCAGTTCTTTGTTGAGACAAGAAGAGCCTGGAATCCAACTCCAGGAGACATGAGCACCACAAAACTTAGCAATATTTATTTGGCGAGCCATTTTTAGAAGGTAACCAGCTGGTAACCAAAGGATGCCAAATTCAAGCTCAGCCTGGACAACTTAGCAAGGCCCTGTCTCAAAATAAAAATAAATAAATAAAAAGGGGTTAGGGTGTACCTCAATGAGAAGGCACTAGGTTCCACCCCTCGTATGGCAGGGTGGGAGTCAAAAAGAGAACACCAAGATTACTGTAAAGTTATTTTAGGAATTCAGAAGGACATTAGATAATCAGCCTTTACAACATCCAGTTCTAGACCCCCTCTTGGAGTGATAACTAGAAGTCTTCACACACTCTCCTGTGAACTGGTAGCTACCTAGGTTCCAGGAAGAGCAGAACCTCACAGGACTAAAACAGCCACAATCACTTCATGGAAGCAAAATCAGTCCTTAAACCATGGGGACTCCTCCAGAGCTACAGACACTGTACCAGGACTAAGATGATGACTGAGCAGACCCTCCAGTCGCCTCAGCTAAGCCTTAAAAGCTGGCCTCCTATTTTTGAGAGTAGTTCAATGTGAACCTCAATGAAGTATGCCCCTCCAACTACTCAAGCTGGAGTCTTCTCCCTATGTTCTCTCTTTCTTTCCAACTAACACTTTCTATTGCAAATTCAGCTTTAGTTTTAATTTCCATTTCTACTAAAGCAAGGACCCAGGCTAGCCAGTCACGGTATCATACACATAGAGGTAGATCCAAGTTTATATTACAAGGTGAAAAAAAACAAAAAACAAAAACAAAACAAAAAAAAACAACTATTCTTCAGTCTACAAATGCCCAATAGGTAACTGAAAGTAGAATAAACCTTAACTTTCATTTTTGTATCATTTCTTACTTTTAAACTTTGGATATACGTACTGCTCATTTAAGAAAAGCTGAGAGAACAAAGTTTACTAACTCTAATTTTACCTAGCCTATTTCGTCCACTTTGCAAATAGAAAAGCAAGGTGGTCACACATGCCTGTAATCCCTGCAACCGGGGTGCTGAGGGAGGAATGACACAAATTAGGGTGTGGCAAAACTGGCTGGGGAAGTAGGTGTAACCTGTTCATTTCAAGATTCCAGAATACATGGGCAGAATAGCTCCCAAAGCCTGGCATGTGGACTTCTCAAGAGAGCTCCAGGCAGTTTTCAATACGATGACCTGGACCTGATGTCAGCCTCAGGTGGGGGATTCCAGTACCACCTCTCAGAACCCATATATAGAAGTTCTCACAGGTTTCCTCAAGATTTAGATGGCATGAAAGGACACAGAGGCTAAGAAGAGCTCCCTATCATGGCTTTCTTAATAGCCCACCCTGTATCCTCCAGGGTGTACTTTCATCTTGCTTTCTTCCTCTTTTACTTGGCCCAAGCTCTATCTGCAGAGCCAGTTTCCCCCTCACTTTTCAATTTTACTTTCTCTAATAAACTTCTTCACTGTTTATTTGCTTGTTTCATTCAGTTCTTTGTTGAGACAAGAAGAGCCTGGAATCCAACTCCAGGAGACATGAGCACCACAAAACTTAGCAATATTTATTTGGCGAGCCATTTTTAGAAGGTAACCAGCTGGTAACCAAAGGATGCCAAATTCAAGCTCAGCCTGGACAACTTAGCAAGGCCCTGTCTCAAAATAAAAATAAATAAATAAAAAGGGGTTAGGGTGTACCTCAATGAGAAGGCACTAGGTTCCACCCCTCGTATGGCAGGGTGGGAGTCAAAAAGAGAACACCAAGATTACTGTAAAGTTATTTTAGGAATTCAGAAGGACATTAGATAATCAGCCTTTACAACATCCAGTTCTAGACCCCCTCTTGGAGTGATAACTAGAAGTCTTCACACACTCTCCTGTGAACTGGTAGCTACCTAGGTTCCAGGAAGAGCAGAACCTCACAGGACTAAAACAGCCACAATCACTTCATGGAAGCAAAATCAGTCCTTAAACCATGGGGACTCCTCCAGAGCTACAGACACTGTACCAGGACTAAGATGATGACTGAGCAGACCCTCCAGTCGCCTCAGCTAAGCCTTAAAAGCTGGCCTCCTATTTTTGAGAGTAGTTCAATGTGAACCTCAATGAAGTATGCCCCTCCAACTACTCAAGCTGGAGTCTTCTCCCTATGTTCTCTCTTTCTTTCCAACTAACACTTTCTATTGCAAATTCAGCTTTAGTTTTAATTTCCATTTCTACTAAAGCAAGGACCCAGGCTAGCCAGTCACGGTATCATACACATAGAGGTAGATCCAAGTTTATATTACAAGGTGAAAAAATTAATTTAAATCTGGTTTAACACAAGCAATATTTTTAGGGACCTTCAAAACCCATGGTATGAGAGTTCCTACAGTACATTCTTTGAAGATTAGAACACTGCAAAGTGGAAATTATAATTTTATGAAATTTTATTAAAGATGGGTATTTTTTCATTGTTTTACTATATCTTGTTCAGCTTGGTTCTTATTCAGGGAAAATCCAAAACCTTTTTAAATACTACTATTATCTCTATTAAGATTATTGGTGGCATACACCTGTAATCGCAGCATTCTGGGAGGCTGCCACAGGAGTATCACAATTTCCGGCACCGTCTAGACAAATTAGCAAAACCTTGTCTCAAAATAAAACATAAAAAAGGGTTAGGGATGTACCTTGTTGGTGAGAAGGCCCTGGGTTGAATCCCAGTAACAACCAAAAATATTAATTCTTTAAATTTATCGGGAATTAAAATATTATGTATAAAATTCAACATGGAGCATCTAAGTTGCTTCAACATTATTAAATGAATTAGATGGCTGTTACCCACGAATGGGAAACTGAATTAACTACTGGATTGCCACTGATTCCCATCTACTACTCTGAAGCTGTATAATAACCTTTACCTAAACGTATTAAATGTTATGTTCAAAAATTGAATGAAAGTATCCTCTAAACCTCGATAGCATTTTACTTTTAAAATGTATTGAAAAATGAGTTCGCATTTAAAAGTGTGGCGTCCTCAAATTTCAGAAGCAGTTTAAGTTTCCAAAGTTTGAAGATCAGAGAAGAAATTCCAAACACTCTTGATCCTCCCAACTCACTTAACTGAATTTGAAGTACTCACTTTAGGTTTTGGGGTTGATGTGTTATTTTCCAGTCTTCTCTTTTATTTCAATTTGTTTAAAAACATTAACAAACACACTATCTCCAAAGTCACACATTTGAAAATATCAGCCAAGATGAGGTTGCAAATAGCAAAAAAAAAATTTTTTGATTTATGTATAATCTCATAATTCTTGTTTTTGTTTTGTTTTTTATCTAAACGCTGCTTGAAACGGAAGCCCAAAGAGGTAAATCCAGGCAGACTTACGAAAGACTAACAGCCTCCCAAGATCTGTTTCTCATCCCTCGGCGCCCAAGCTTTACACTGTGTTCTCTGAACATAAAAAGATGGGAAATTTTCAGGGGAGAAATTCAAGGAGCCCTTTTTGAAAGACCACACATTAGCAACAACCCTTCGTAAAACAAACATCAAGGAAGGGAGGGCAGGTATAAGGGGAAAAATGAGAACCGAGACCTGTCATGCAAAGGTACAAGATCCCAAGGATGAATGTAACTGTACTGTAGACCTAAAATGTAGCAATAAACTCAATGAGAGAGAAAAAAAAAAAGAAACATCAAGGAGGCAACTGACTGGGAAAGAACTTGGAGACAGCACGTCTGCGAACTCCGGTTACGTCAGGGGCTTGTTCTCTTTTCATCAACCGCACCCCAGCCCTCTCCCAAGTTCCTAACCTAAGCCTGGTACTTCCTCCAGTCAGTCCGTAGCGAGCTCCCACGGCAGCTCACCGCCCAAGATCCCCTCAGGCTCGCACGCCCCGCCCCTTCCCCTAGCCCGATCCCGCCCGCCCCGAGGACCCAAGGGCTAGCCACGCCCCCTCTCTCCACAGACTCGCTGCCACTTCCCCACTGCCTGCTGAAAGCAGTCCTTTCCCCCCCAATTGCCTTTCCCGCCTTTGAAGCTATAAAACAACAAAAATAAAAAGCAGGCGAGAGAGCAGAGTCAAGTGATGGGAAATAAACATCTGTGTAATTAAGCAAGGTTTGCTTAGGCAGTTTGTCCGGCACTGACTGAGGCAGCCTCGAAGGGACCAGTGCTCTGAGGGGTCCTTAGGAGGGCCGGGAGTGACGCGCTGATTGGCTGGTCTGCCGGGCCGGGCAAGAACCCGGTGTGCATGGGCAGCCCAGTTGGCAGTCAGGAGTGAGAGGGTTGGGCACTGTTGGGGTACTACGCTCAACCTGGGCGAATGGCGCAGGGTTGGGCAGGCTTCTCTGAGGAGGAGCTGAGGAGGCTAAAACAAAATAAAGGTAACGGGATATGCGTGCAGAATTTTGATTCCCGGGTCGAAGGAGAATGGGCAGGGTTACAACTGGAAGGAAAAGGGGGCGTGGGAGCTCTGTGTTCGCATCGGGCCGGAGGTGTAGGTGTGCGGCCTGGGTTGAAGGGGCTGCAGAGGTGGACAGATGTGAGCCTAGGAGGAAGGGCGAGCCCGGGGAAAGAGGATCGGGGAATCCTTTCCGGGGATTTGACTTTGTCCTGTGAAAGGAGTGAGACTTGGGAGTGGAAATGAGTCCGCTGCCTAGCTGTCCCTTATAGGGTGGATCCAGTCAAAGAGTAAAAGAGGGAGGCACCAACTATATGAGACTGTATAGAAGATGGTTATTGGGTTAAGAGGATCACAAGACTAATAATACACCTGGAGTATTGCATTCACTTCTGGTAGCCAGATGAATTTTCGCAGTTCTTTCCTGCTCTTTAGACTTAGCAAACAGAAAGTCTTTGAGAGGTCAGGGGTGAAGCCTTTCCATATAAAAATTGTGTGTGTGTGTGTGTGTGTGTGTGTGTGTGTGTGTGTGTATACAGCCCTTCTAGCTTCAGTGTCAAGTACAATTTTGTGCTTTCCCTCCTAGTTTACGGAATAATTGAATGGGCTTGTGTGTTTTCTTAAATTTATTTTGATGAAGGAATTAAGTTTGATACTTGGTAGGACACTTAGTGATATAAACTGTGCTTTTGCTTGTCTTTGAAATTTCATTAAGATCTGTACCTAGTTGGGAACAGCACGCTGAGAAATTTACAGACACTCTTGGTTCTGTGCTTTAAATACTACTTTATTTTATCATGCTTTTTTTATTTTTAGGAATTCAGATGTAGATTGGGTAACAATCTAGGGCTGAGAAGTACAAAAGGGAATAAATAATATAGGGTCAATGTAGATTATTTAGATTGTGGAAATTTTGACTGGTCAGAGATCTTTAAAATTACATCATAAGGTTTATATGTACCACAGTGTATGGTTAACTGACTCTCTAGCTTGTTGCACTCAAATTCTTTTGCTGTGTGATTTTGACATCCATTCACATATCCAGATGTACACAATACAGGATACCTTGTTTCAGATCTTCAGAGTTCCAAGTATCAGCTTTTACTTTAGGGATGCAAAGATAAACAACACATTGTTTTTGCCATCAAAGAACTTATAGTCTAATGAAACAGACCATGAAGTAAAAAGAGTAAATGTTAAGCGGAAGTTACTACTATAGCTAGGAGGAACCCCATTGTGCTGGGGATTGAATGGAGCTTTGGAATTTTTCACAGAGGTTATGCATTGGCAGAGATGAGTTTGCCATGGCAAAGAAGATTTAAATAATAGCCTAAATCAAACAATAGATTTGCTTTGTATTGCGTATGGGTCTTACTATATATCTTAGACTAACCTTGAACTCCCAGTCCTCCCTGCATGTGTCCACTTATAGCTAGACATTACATTTGTTGAGTAAAAGTAAATTCTCTCTGCACTTTGGGATAGGTGGAGGATAATCAAGGATCTGTTCTGATAGTGAGATGATAGAGCATGAACTGTAAATCACTAATCTAGGACTACCTTAAGCACAGAGAAAGCATCTTAGATCATTATATACCCGTGATCAAACATACTTATTGGCATAGAGACCCCAGCTCTGCCTCTAAATCTTTTCCTCTTTCATTAACATTTGTAAAAGTCTGAGAACTGGATCTTTAATTTTTAGACCTATCTTAGCTGTTCTCCAACCTTAAAAATACAATTAAATAATTTAGAAAGATGGAATTGGTTACAAGCAAAAATGAAGGTAATATACTCTAGAGATACTTGAATGTAGACTGGAGAATGTGGTCAAGAGTGTTCTTAAGAGACTGTTTATGATATTAAAAAGAAACAACCAAAGTATTTATTAACAGGGGAGCGGATAAATAAGTGCTATAGTCGCTGGACTGATAGGAACGTATTAACTATAGTTAGATGGATTAACATGTATAAATTATACAAATATACAAAAGGAGCAAGTTTCAGGCAGATATATATAATGCACACTCATATAAGATACTATTTATATAATACTACTTATATAAGAGTGATACTAATACGAGTGAAATCATAAAGTGGATATATTGTTTTAGGTGTATAGGCAATCTATTAAGTCTATGAAATGAAACAGAATTCAGGTTGATTGGAAGGCAAGCGAATGTGATCAGGAGAGGCGAGTACACAGGGAATTTCAGATACATTGGTGGTGTATTGGTAATTATGAAATCAGGTTAAATCAAGTTAAGCTGAAATAACAACCATGAAATATCATTTGTTTAATAAGAATTTTTCACTTGATTATCATGTCTAACTTGGGTTGCCAGGTGACTGCCACACAGTGACTTCACACTGTCTTTTGGTGCTGTCATATGGGAATTCACCATGGCAAGAGGAAAAGAAGATTGAAAAGTGAACCTTGGCAGTTAAATGCTTTCACCAGTAAATGACATGTGTCACTTCTACTTATATTTTATTTAATAAAAGTAAGTCACATGATTTGGGAAGATAAGACATAGAATTCTCTTGTGTTCCAGAAGAGGAGCAATATAACAACAGTTATACCTAGTACAAGCAGGTTTCATTTTTATATCCATACAAATTGGAAGAGTGTGTATGTGCTACATACATAAATTTGAGGTGCAGTCAATCTCATGAAACAAATTGGAAGTAATGTAGCCATGTGCTGTCAATTTCTAGTTGAAATATTAATTTTTAAAACTTCTTTATTGTCCTTGAATCCATGCCTTGTATATGCTAGGCAAGCATTGTACCAGTGTTCTACACCCCAGCTTCAAGACGAAATTTTTTTTTTTGTAATACTTAACAATCCCTTATCCTTTTATTTCATTTTTTATTTTGAATTAGGGTTTCACTAAGTTGCTCAGGAAGATTTGAACTTGTAGTCCTTTAGCCTCCTCCTCCTGTAGTACTTGGATTACAGACATGTCTCCTACCTTATACTTGTGATATCTTTTGGTAAACAATGTATTTAATTTTAATATATTCAAATGTGTCATTCCTTTTTAATAGCCAACATTTTCTGAGTTTTAAGAAGCCATTCCCATACTATAAGCTGATCTGCAGAATCCCCCTCCTGGCCTTTAAAATTAGCACATAGCATTAATGAGAAATAAATCTTTGTTGCTGAAAGCCACTGAGATTCCAGCATTGTTTCCTCCAATAGCATAATCTTAAATTTTCACAATTGACATGGTTCCCTATATTTAAAAATCAGGGTATTTTATATGAAAATCTGAATTTTAATTATGAACATTCAAAATATCTGGTTACACTGACCTAAATTTTTTAATGACAGCAGTTGACTAGAGATAACCATGGATACCCTATTTACCCTAGACTTATGTTCCTCACTTTGTTACAGTCTCCTTGATATTTGCAGCCCCTAGCAGACAATATATAATTGTATGAATTTTGACTTATTGTTTGGGAATTTTTTAAATAGCATTTTTATTTTATAGGTAGGTTCTGTAAAAATACAAAATAAAATAGAAGCTAAGCTACAGTAAGTTGCAGAAAACTTATTAATAATATAGGTATTGAGTTCAATTTTTCAAAGATGTCAATGAAAATCCCTAGTCAAAAATAAGTTCCTGTTGGCAAGATACATAAGATACTTTGTGTTTCTGGGTAAAGTACACGATAGCATTTAATTTTCATAGTATTTCTGACTTCTTCAAAAATATTTTCTTTACATATTTCATCTGATTATTACATTAACTCCATAAGTTGAATAGAGCAGATAATTTGCGACTGGTTTGGCAGATCAGAACACTGAAGTGTTGAATAGTTACCTGACTTGCCTGAGGTTAATAAGTGGATCTGAAGCAAAGCTGGGACTTTGACTCCAGAGCTTTTAACTCATTTGGGGAAATTTAAATAATGAGCTTGTGTTGTTTCAAAGGTCAAAATGCAGAATTGAAAAATTCTATTTGAAGGATCCATAATTTCATTTCCCAAACATTTTATAGAGAATACTGTTTATAGATCTTATTCAATATAGTATAAATGTGAGTCATATTCTCCAGTTGTCTGCCTTAAGAAGTTAACACTGGCATGGGCAGTTCAAAACAAAATATATAATAGAAGTACTATTGTTTAATTTATGCTTTAAAATATTCCCCCAATTGTTTTAGCTCTGTTACTTTTCTTGGGCTATTGCCAAAATTAATTTGAGTACCTTGATTTTAAGCCTGGCTAGACTTTGGGAATACAAACTTCCATTGTTCTGTAAGGTGAAAGGAAAAAAAAATGCATAATTAACTACTGTTACTAAAAAATAGAAGACTTTGTTTAGTTGTATTTCTTATAATGTCTACCTGTGTATCAAATTGCCCCAAGAACTACTAAAACTGGAAAAAAGAAGGGAATCTCATCTGATACCTAATCAGCATTTTGTTTAAGGAGAATAAGCAGAACCATATATCAAACATAAAACACATCAGAGAATCAGACAGTTCAGTTCACCTACATAGAAATTAGTCAAATCTTTTTTTTTCTTCCTGTATTGAGAATCAAACCTAGCCTCATGTGTGCTGTGCAAGTGACTCACCACTGAGCTACACCTCTGCTCCTTTTTATTTTTTGAGACCATCTCATCACGTTGCCCAAGCTGGGCTGGAACTTGCAATCCTCTTGCCTCAGCCTCCCAAATAGCTGGGATTATAGGCTTCCACCACCATGCACCACATTAGTTCATTGGTTGACTGGTTGACATTAGTTAATTATCAAATGAAGTTGAAAAAGAAATCCACCTTAGTGTTCTAAGACCTAATCACATATAAATGGATTTCCTGTGAAGAGCCAGATTAGTTTTTGTTAAATTTTAGCAGTGTGATGTAAAATCTGTTGAACTTAACAGGAAAATGGCAGATTTTTCCTGCACTTTTTCAAAATAGAGAACAGAGCAGAAGAAACTCTAGAACTATTAAAGTTCAATATCAATGTTTTATATTCTAGAAAAACTGGGATTATTGCTGCTCACTCAAAGGAATTTTCCACTTTTCTCTTTTATATAGATTCATTTGAACCACCACGCCGACTTCCTGTAAAGAAAACACGACAACAACTTCAGCGAGAAAAAGCCCTACAAGAGCAAAGCCAAAAACTTGGACTTCAAGATGGCTCAACCTCATTACCTCCAGAGCAAATGCTTTCTGCCCAAAAACAGAGAATTAGCAGTCAGAAACTGCTTTCTACGCCAACTTGCACGCCAACTTGTCCTAGCCCTGAGGCACTCACCTCTCCTGTTGGTGATGGAAAACTACCGGATACTGGAAGTCAACCCAGGGAAGCAGGACTTGAGAATTCCTATGATGGTCATGAAAACTTTGAGGTTCTACCTCCAAAGCCAGATTGCAAATTGGAGAAAAAGAAAATGGAATTGTTAGTAAGTCTAATAAGACTTTTTATTTATCTTTTTTATTCCCATTGGGCTTTAAGGAAATGGGCTGGTCGGTTGGTTTTAACATTTTTCTCTGCTTTATATCCAGGTAGAGGAATGTGATCCATAAACTAATTAAAAGTAGTTCCACCTTCATATCGTATGAGCTGGACAGTTTTAGGCATTTTATAGGTTTTGTATCATTTAGTCTTCACAACAGCCTTACAATGTATGTTTTATTATTTTTACTTTATAGATGAGGCAACCAGAACTCAGAAAAGACATCTTTCTAAAGCTAGTACACAGCTAGTAATAGAGTTGAGATTCACATTTAAGTGTGTCTGCATCTAGAGTCTATAGCCAGTTACACCCACCAGAGGCAGTTTTTATAGGCACAGTACCACTCCCCAAATTAAATCTGTTCTTCACCTTCCAGCTGACTTCCTCAGTGGCCCAGAAAAGAAAATTTATGAGGAAACATAACAGGACAGGCAAAAGAGAGATTGTTGGAAATTAAAGGGATTAATTATACAATTCATTTGCATCAGGGAGTCTTCCTTTCTTCCTTCCTGTACTAGAAATTAAACCAGAGACTTCATACCGAGCTTACATCTTTAACCCTTTTTTAATTTTGAAAAAAGTCAACTAAGTTGCCCAGCCACCATACCCAGGTTGTTTAATGTATTTATATTTTTTTAAAAAGCAGAATAATTTAGCCACACTCTTATGAAAAATGCCATTCTGTAATTCATGAATCCTTGGAAAAGTATTTGGGGAGAGGAGATGGCATTTTTGTTTTTGTTTTTACTTTTCTGTGTTTTTTTCTAATCTCAGATACATTTCTAATCTCTGATGATCTGGATTCTGTACTGTGAGTTTTAAAATGTTTCCTGCCTACCAGGGGTTTGTGGCTAAATTCATGTTGACAAGAATTACAGTGCTACATGAATTATGAAGCCAACATTGAAAGAGTACATACATTTATATATCTTTAAGTGGAATTCGCCAATCAGGGCCTGAAACTAGTGAAGGCTGAGTTTACATTGAGCTGAGCTGGACAATTTAGAGTGGATATCATTAGAGAAATTCCTTTTCTAAGTACTTGGGAGAACATTCATGGAAGACACTCTGAGGTGCCATTGATAAAAAGGAGATATTCTGAGGTATACTCTGCGGAACGTTCTCAGATGGCATCTGATTTCTCTGGGAGAGGCAAAGGTGGACAGAGAATGGTAGGCAGTAGAGAAGTACGAAAGTGAATTCTAGTGAGTTTGCTGACACAGCCTGAGGCCAAGGCCTCAAGGAGAAAAGAGTGAACAGTGGCTCAAGAAATGCCAGGTGTCAGTGTTGCTGACCATTTGGGAGGGAGGCCGGGTGAGGAGGTGCCTGCGTGGTAAAAATTGAGAAAAGACCAATGTTGAGGCCAAAGTGAAAGCTGTAGTGATGAAGAGAAAAGTACAATTTTGGAAATGGTTAATGGGTTTACAAATAGAAGACTTGAAATCATGGCTGTGAGAAATACCAGTAATGAGAATAAACAATTTTTGCTCTTGATTAATTTAAGTTGCCATCAAATTCGTGACTTTATGGGAAATTTTAATATATTTCTTTCAGAATTAGAAGGCAATACATGTTTAAGATCTTTGAAGTTTTCTTTACCCCAGTTCCATTTGACTTTAGTTCATTGTTTGAGAGATGGAAAAAAATATGCAGTGTATGGAGGAAACATTGGTCATTGTTTTAAGGATGTTAAAGTGATGGGGGATTTTCATTATAGAAAATTCTTAAAAGGAGCTGAGCGTGGTGGCATATACCTATAATCTCAGCACTCACGAGGCTGAGCAGGAGGATTGTGAGTTTCAGGCAGCCTGGGCTACATAGTGACTTCAAGGCCAGCCTGGACTACATAGAAGAGTCTGTCTCAAAAAACCAAAAAATAAAAATAAAAAAGAAGCCAAACCTCTTTCTTTAAGAGATACAACCTCAGGTACAGACCAATTTATTTTAACCTTCATTTTGCATATAATACCTAATTAACTTATACACATTTTTTCATAAACTCCTTAAAAAATGCCATAGTACTCTGGCTTCCAGTTTGAGAGTTCTTAGGTTATGTACAAGTAATGGATTTCAAAGGTGTGTGTAAGCCTTTTTGCTTCAGATGTAGTTCATTCCTATTAGAACAGAATAATGAGCTGCAGACAGTTTCTTTTAAGAGGACTTTTGAAAGAAAATGTATGTAGTTTGCCTGATTAGACTTTATTTATACATTGGAGACTGAGACTTGTAAGGTGTGAGATAGGATAGTCTCTTTTGTAAATTCATTTGTAAAACTTATTTTCTCCCTAGGCAGGAGAAGTCTCGTTGGGAAGTCCTCCAACAAGAACAACGACTAATGGAAGAGAAAAATAAACGTAAGAAAGCTCTTTTGGCAAAAGCTATTGCAGAAAGGTGAGGCACCTAAAGCAGGAGAGGTTGGTTGTTCATAAACTGCAGTCAGTTCTGTCATGTTTTATATGTATTTTCCTGGGACTGTCCTACTAAAATGATATTTTCTTTATAGTTGTTACTTGGAAGGCTAACTAAACAAACTGCTTCATAAGTGATACTGAAACTCCAGTTTTAATTTATTAAGGAGGACTTTTAAAGTTTAAATCATAATGAACTTATAAGCCCACTGCAATTAAAACTTGAGGACCAGCGTTACTGTTTTCAGTTGTAACCATGTGCATTTTCATAAGGGAAGCAGGAATTCACTTATCAGTGTGTATAAGTGAGCAGATATATAAGGGATACGATTTTTAATTTTAATATGGAAAAACTTTAAATGATCTGACTTGTAGATCTACGCAAGTGACTTACACTGCCTCAGATCTTAATTGCATTTCTTATGAGCATTTTTCTTACACTTATCCTGTGCCCACTAATACAGTATGTAATGTAATTTAACCTTGTTTTGGTGACTCAGGTTGACCCTTGTTAGCCCTGTATGAGGTTTGGTGTTTCTTGCACCTCCCTGTGTAACTTTGTCAGTTATCTCTTCACAAATCAGTAAAGCAATGGCAGAGAATACTGGGAGCTGACTGCAATTATTTGCTGGCCTTTTCTTTTTAAACCTCTAGAAAAGTCTAGCAAAATAATTATTGCTTGACACTGGAGTATATGTAAAGGCAGGGGAAAATGTAAGAAGAAAGTAGGTGGGTATAAGAGCAATCAGAATTTTAACTGTCAGAGCGATGTGTGTATTTGAAATGATTTTTTTCCCTTTCTGCTGGTGCATCTTCCAGGAGTGTAGGAGATGTGCAGCTTACAATTTTCAAAAAAACAAACACGTGTATTGCCCTCTTATATTTTTCCCCCCACATCTGGTTACTTTGAAGTTTTATTAGTTTTCAATTTAGAAGAAGTATGGATGCTGTTTACTAGGGATTTTACAAAAACAATTTACAAGTTCAGAACATCTTAGCGCTAGTGATTTAAGACTGATATAGAAATGTAAGGAAATGCAACATAAATGGGTTATTAATAGATAATGAATGCTTGTCTTACTGGTAAGGGAACTTTTGCGGGCAGAAATGAATTACCAATGCATGATGCAGTGGAAAGGGGAGTGTAAGTTGCAGGATCATGGTTTCATGTTGGGTTTTTTCCCCCATTTGAAAGTGAAATTTTGAAATGAGTGAAATCATGATTAAAGGTTTATTTTATGCTTGTGTTTCTTAAGTGTGTATTGTACTTCAGGACAGGTGGTGAAGGAACTGAAAGATGATGAAGTTGGATATGTTTTTAAACTAGGGGAAAAAAGGATGTTTTGATTTTGAGCCCCACAGATAGCTTTGAGGGCTTAGAGTTTTGACTAGAGAACAAGAATTAAAGCAATGAAGGTATGGTAAAACAGGTCCTAAGAAAGCTTAAAAATAAGCCAGGCATGGTGATGCACACCTGTAATTCCAGTGCTCTGGGAGGCGGAGGCAGGAGGATCACAAGTTAAAGCCCAGCCTAAGCTGCTGAGTGACTTTAGAGAGACCCCTCCTTAAAATAAAAAATTTAAAAAAGAATTAAAATCCACCTTGTTGCATTGTTAAGAAATTAGTAGGTGTTGTTAGAAAATTTGGGAAACTGCAGGAAAAAACTCTTACAGATCTTCCAAAATGTCAGAAGCATTTATTTCAACTCTGATTTTTTTTCTAATTTTTAAAAAATTGTGTTACAATCATATATATATATTCTTATTACAGATATATCTATCTGTATATAGAGATATATAATATGGATCTTGCTTTTTGTATATCATGTTTTCAAATGTTTCTTTGTGCTTTTTGTTCTGCTATTCATGTTCCTGATTTTCTAGATCTAAAAGAACTCAAGCAGAGACTATGAAGCTAAAGCGGATCCAGAAGGAGTTACAGGCTTTAGATGACATGGTTTCAGCTGACATTGGAATCCTCAGGAACCGGATTGATCAAGCCAGCCTAGACTATTCATATGCACAGTGAGTTGGGGACATTGAACCTTGAACAGGGAATCTGATGTAATTAATGTTTGTTACTGGGTAGGGCAGTGGCTGTTGTGTTCATCCTGTAAGTCTCATAACAAGCCCATTAACTACTGTATTCCTCTCTCATGCCAATTCCTGAATATTCTCTTCTGTGAAGTCTCCCTTAAGCCTGCTTTATCAGTTAGAGTTAACCTTCTTCATATACCTGTTAGAACATTTTCCTGTATTATTTCCTGTATTGACATTTTAGTCTTTCTGGGTAAACTTTTGGCTGTTTAATGTTTGGGATCCATATTAATATTTTATGATCTAATAAAGTAAATGTCTGAATGACTTGTCCCAAAACTGTTCTTCTAACACCAAGTGAATAGTCTTTCCGTTAAAACTTTTAATTATTCAATATGGTCTCTATAGAATTGGAGTCTAGTTCTCACTTCAATTTTCATCAAAATAAGAACAACTTGTTATTTTTTAAAGTTTATGAATATTTTAAAGAAAATACCATTCTGAAGAATATTGAAGCTTTTTCTCTTATTTTTTCTTCATGATTATACAGTGTACAAAATGGTTTGATGTGTTTGTTTTTAACCATTGACATTTTTTATAAAGAAAAAGTCTTTATGGAACATTTTAAAAATCAACTAACACATGTAAAGAATTACATGGACCTTGCAAACAGATAAAAGGGCAAAAAGAATGTCCAATTTCAAGGTTTTCAGTCCCTTCTACATTGCTTTAATCATCCCAGTTTGTCTCTTCACAAGGGAATGCTGTGTTAATGACTCAGTTTTGCATTTTTCTGTAACACTAGAAATCAATCAGAATGCCTCATTAGTGCAGGGTAAACCACAACATCAGAATGTTTATACAACAATTTAATAAAGCGGAAATGCTTGATTGTGGTTTTTAATTTACTGTTTAGTGCTCAAGAGGTTTGTGGTTGTCCTTGTGATACTTGTAATTGTTGTTTGACCATGCGCTATTTGATGTGATGTAATAGGGCTGCCTTTATTAATTAAATTTAAATTAATGCCATCAGTAGCTGATAACTAGAGGCTCCTGATTTCTATTAATAAGGTTGTTGAGGTAACCAAGATTTTATTAAGATTAAAACTAAAGCCTTGATTTTTAGCATTTTATTCTCTATAACATGAGTTTGGCAAGAGATCATTTTTACGCCTTACATTTATATGAATCATTCCTATTATCAGTTATAATGCAGGTATCACAATGGAAAATCTTGATTGTTGTAATTCTGTCCTAGTGGGAGCTGGAGAAGGGTGCCTTTGTGTGTTGAATGTGATATAAGATGTGCCAGTGTCAGCCTTCAGAGACAACCACAAAGAGGGTGGAACTACCAGATAAAGAAGATAGCATCCTACAATATATATTCTTAATGCAGTTTTAGTAAATTCTTGCATAATAAAAATATTTTACATTGCATAGTTTTATATCTTTTATCAACTAAAGATGTTAGTTTTTCATAGTACTTTTACTGACATAATTATATGTAAATGATGCTGGTTAACTCTGCCTTAAAAATTAAGCTCTAGAGGTATAAATCAAAGAGAAGCTTGTGATTAGAAACAGGATTGTGACTTGTACGTGCATAAGGTTAAGACAGTATTTTCTAAATTTGCATTTGTGGTTATTGAGAAAGTATAGATTGGTAGTATAGTATTGGGGTCCAGGTTGCTCCCAGAACATAATCTCAGGGTGGTCAGTTTCTCCAAGAGATTCCCTGAATTTTTAAAAATAAAAATACTATCTTAGTTCTGTAGTGTTGTATCCATAAAGGGTTCTTGGATACTAATTAGGTCAGAATCCACTTTAAACTTGGCTTGTGTAGAGTAACCTTAGGACAGTTACCTCTGAGGAGACAGCACTTGGAGGTTCCAACTCAGGAGCCAGTGCCACTGCCACAACCAAGAGTACAGCGTAGTGTGCTTGTCTGTACAGACCACTGAGGGAGAGAGGTGGCTGAGTATGTATGCTGGGAAAAATAATCATTCCTGTTTATCATGTAAACTTAATAGACACCACACACACACACAAGTGTGTGTGTGTGTGTGCACAAATATTTTTAAATCACTTTATGAACAGTTTACAGAAATTAGAATAAAAAGGATCATAGAAAAAAACTTGAAGTCTCTGTATCAAAATAGTCGGCTTGCAAACATGAAGAAATGGGAGAATGAGCTATATCCTGTTAGCAGGACAGGACAGACACTTACACTGACTGAGTTCTTGCCTGTTAAATTATTAATTGCATGAGAATGTCATGTTTCCTTTTTTGTTCTTAGAAATAGATTTTTCACTTAGTGATTCCTGAGTTTCAGGAAATTCATCTAAGATGGGTTTTTCTGAAGACTCAGGTTCTGAGATTTAACTTACTGATGAATTTCAACACCTCGATTCTAAAGAATATGACTCTGCATTTGTGTTAGTTTCTTAGATGTGCTATAACAAATTACCACAATCTGTACAGCTTAAAACATCAGAAACTTGTTTCACACATCCCAACTTGCCCGTGTCAGCAGGGGCATGCTTTCTCAAACAGTAGGGTTCTATTTCTTGCCTTTTCCAGGTTCCGGTGGCCTTAGGTGCTCCTTGACCTGTGACTGTACTCCATTCTGTACACCCCCATGGTCACATTGCTTCCTCTGCCTTCTCTCTTCAAAGGCTACACCTGATTGTACCTAAGGCCCAACTGGATAATTCAGAATACTACTCTTCTCAGATCACTTAATTATATCATTTCTCCTATAAAGTCAATACAGCAATATTTAAAAGTTCCATGGATTACTAGGTGAATGATTTATTTAACTGTGGTAAAGTCTTTCTCTGTCATTTTTCTCTACTTTGCCAATATGAAAATGAAAAAATAATTCTCAACTGTATTCAGTGAAAATTAAGAATAACTGAGTGTGGTGGTACCTGCCCATAATCCCACCTCCTCAGCAGGAGGATTACAAATTTGAGGCCAGCCTGGGAAACAGTGAAATTCTGTCTCAAAATCCCCATTCTCAAAATGCCAAACCAACTAAACAAACTAAAACCCTAAGAACAGTTTATACTGATGGTGTTTCTAGTCTTTTATACCATCTTGTGGTGACATAGTATTTGGAACACAGGAAACTAAATAGTGACAGTTCATTTCATTATTGCATCATCTTTTTAGATCATTCCATCATTCTCTGTTTTCTTATTGGTTTAATTTTTTTCATAAATGGGAATAATTGATAAATAATGAAGAAACTACTTAGGACGATGAGATGGCAAAATGTTTTACCATATAGGAAAAATATTTCTAATATCCTATAATATATCTTATAAAAGTGTCCTTTAGACCCATGTAGTAATGGCAAAATATAATTCTCTTTATTTTTAAAAAGTGAATTTTCTTTGTTCTTTACAAGTGTTCTGACAAAGAGATGGAGGGAAGAGTGGAGAAGGGCACATAAAAAGAATTGAGACGTGTTCCATGCATGTACTACCTGCTTGTGATGACTGTAATTGCATACTGCAAACAAGTGCTAATAAAAATTAAAAGTTTTAAAATAAATTTAAAAACAAAAGACTGCTAAGAAAGGATAAAAATTGTATGCTCATCTGTACAGGTAGTTAAAACTGCTCAGAAAAGAACTGAAAAACTAAAAGTGAATCAGTGGAACCAGATGCTATAGCAAAGAGCGTTTTAAAAACAAGCTCATGATCTGACTTGGTATTATCCACCTGATTCCCATAGCAGAGGTGCAGCTTGGGAAACTAATCAGTATTTTAAATGTAAATCACTCTATATGAGAATATATATGTATGTTTCTGGACAGAAGGAGATGAAGGAAGGAAGGAAGGAAGAAAGGAGGCAGGGAGAGAGAGGTTGATTTATCTAGGGCAAAATACCAGTAGATATCTAGGGACCTATTTGGAAGTGTTAATTTCAGCTTGGTATTCATGAGCCTGGTCTGTAAATCTCTACTGGATTGGACTGGTTCAGGGTAACCTAGACTTGCAGAGAAGGGAAGTTTGAGTGCGGGAAGGGGCAGAGTATTGATTCAACTACAGAGAAGGTTGCAAGACTGAACTGATACAAGAACATTCATTAGTAGGAATATTATAAAACATGGAGATAAGGGCCCCAGATATCCAACAGAGTTCCTTTGAGCACTTCTTAGTTCAAATACCAGCTCCTCATGATGAATGTAATCATGTACTGCAAGCATAGTAATAAGAACAAAAATTTTTAAACTCATTTCCTTAATAAAAAAAATTAAGAATACAGGTTTTTGCTGGACTTGATGCATGCCTATAATCCCACACAGAAAGATCTCAGATTTGATCGCAAGGGAGAGAAAGACAGATTTTCTACTTTCTTCATTTTTTTGTTGTTTTACGTCATAAAATCCACTAGTGTGCTGCACCTAGCTTACACAAATGCATGAGAGCAGATTGTATGCATCTCTTCATACTTTTTCATTTAGTGGTGTCACACTGATAACTCAAAATTGTCCCAGGTAGTAATATTTATACCACAGAAACTGACAAACACAACAGATGAGAGCCCTCCATCCCCCATTCCAACCCTAAAGCGAGCACATCACTGAATTAACACTCTTAACCTGCCTTCACTCAAGCATAGCTTTAGAAAGAAACTAGTAAAGAAACATGGTGACGAAACTATGGCATACGTGTCATAGCAAGCTGTTTGTATCACTGGAAGCTCTAAAAGGTTCACTGTCACTGGTATAGAAGAATATTTTTATACCAGGTGAATCCATATAAGGATGTTTGAAAGTTTCAGCATTGGTAGCCTGATTTATCTAACATAGTCAGGTATTTGTAAGGTATTAATACTTATGCTTCCCTTGTACATTTTTTTCCCAATGTTGGAGCTCAATTATTGTTTCTAGACCTTTTTTCAGTATCTTCTTCCATGGAAAATTAATGGATCAATCTCTGTATCTATCCTGATAGGAAGCGGTTTGACAGAGCTGAAACTGAGTATATTACTGCAAAGCTAGATCTACAGCGCAAGACTGAGATAAAAGAGCAACTCACGGAACACCTTTGTACAATCATACAGCAGAATGAGCTCCGCAAAGCCAAGAAGTTGGAGGAGTTGATGCAACAGCTAGATGTACAGCCTGATGAGGAGTCATTGGAACTTGAAGTGGAGGTAGAAAGGTTGCTTCGTGAACAGGAAGCAAAAGCAAGGAAGCAAATGGTTCCTGTGGAAAGGCCTTGTCAGCCTGCTCTAGAGATTGTGACTTCAGAGCTTGCTAAAAAGAACAAAAAGCCTCAAGAACAAGCTGTTTCCCCAAAGGTAGAGGAACAGTGTGAAAATTCCAGTAGCCTCTCCCATCCTAATGCAGACTACACAAATCAAGGAGTTAAATGATATTTCAGCTGCTCTGACCTCATGAAGTGCCAGTGTTCTTTTCAACTAATGATACTCAGTACAGTGTATTTTCTGCAGTAGATTTTACCCTGACTGCTTATAAAATCCTTGTAAAAACTTAATTTTTTGATCCATAATTAGTATGTTAACATGTTTGTAATTTTATACCTACGTGACATTTCACCTTGATTTTGGTCCAGTTCTTTCCATGTTCCTTTAACTGTTATTATTTGGTTCAAATAAAAATGATGGAAGAGCCTGAAGCCTTGTTCAGTTCTGAACCCCACAAAAAGAAAAAAAATGGAAGGAAAACTACATTGTTGGCGTGGTTTTAGACCAGGCACTTAAAACTACAGTTGAAGCAGGATGTGGTGACACACACCTATCATTTCAGCACTTGGAAGACTGAGGCAGGAAGATAGTGAGTTGAAGCCAGCCTGGGATACCTAGCCTGATAGCATCTCCAAAAACAAGAAAAGAAAAATGATATGCACTACCTAGGCAAACCATTTGACTTCCCCTGGGAGAAGTATTGAGAATGGAAGACCTATGTATTTTATATAATCAGTAAAAAAGGGCATAAAAATTATGTGTGAAAAAGAGCTGGGTGTGATGGTAATCCCAGCACTTGGGAGGATCTCAAGACTGAGTCCTACCTGGGCAATTTAGTGAGATCCTATCTCAAAAAATAAAAAGGGCTAGGGATGTATGTAATTCAGTGCAAAGAATTTGGGTTCAATCCCCATGGTACAGGAAAAAAAGGCAGGAGAAAATTATCTCTGGATTTTTGCAGCTAAACTTGCAAAACACAGCTTGAAAATTAGACTTTATATAAAGAACAAGACAATTTAGGCCCACATTATTTTTGTTCTTTTGTCTTTAATTTGTTTTTAAATGATTTTATTTATAACCTGATTTTTCGTTAGTTGCTATACATGTGTGTATAGATATATATGTATGACTGGACTTTTAATCTCTTTAATCAATGAAGTGATTAAATTTAGATTAAAAACTTGCCTAAGGTAATATAGAATGCTTTATTGCTTTTGTTGTCTTCTCTAAAGTTATCTGTAATATATGTTTTATATGTTGGGCATAAATTATCTTGTCATTAAGCAATTTAAATTGCTGAAATGTCATTACTTTAATAGATGATAATTACCTATTACTAATATTTGAACATTACATTGTGCCCTGTGTGATTGTGTGTATAAATATAATTTTGTCATAAAAACATGAATATATATTAAATTATGATCTATCAGAAATTGGCATTAAAGGAACTAGAATAAAAGAAGGTAATGACAGGTGTGATATTATGTTTATTAAAATGTTAAGAGACATCCTGTTTTAAATGAGTTTGTTTGAAGATATTCTAGTAACACAGATGAGCTTTGTACTTTTATATAACTTGAGTTGAATGTATAATTTTCCATTACTGAATTCTCTATACAGAGAATGCCATTTATGTAGATGTATTTTATTTATGAATAATGTACATAAAAATTGAAAGCTTCATTTCCTATGATACTTATTTTTCTAAGGAATAAAAAAGTGATATGTTTATTGTCTTTCATTTACTTTAAAAACAAAAGTTGCAAATAGTTTAATATGTGTTCTTATGCAATATGTATCAGTAATACATCCCAAGATCTTAGGATAAATGCAGTTGTCCACTTTTGTATGAGCCTGTTAAAAATCACTAACAGTGAGGTTTTGTAATACTGCTTAAATGCAATAACACAATCTTAATTTTCAGTTTAAGTACTTAATAGCTATATGGAGAAGTAAGAATCGTGAAAGAAATGAATTGGACAAGACCTCAGAGATCATTTAATCATTTCATTTTTAACAAATTTCAGAGCCAGATTTTAGCAGTTCATTTTAAAGTTAAAGCACTAATAAAAGTTGTAGTTCTGTACTCCTGGTGTATCTCCTATGTAGCTCAAGTCAGGATATTTGTGACAGCCCTTGTCATTGACAGTTCTGCTTTATAACCCATGCAGGGATTTTATATATGTGTTAAGTGCTTTCATGTATGGTTACAAAAGTTCCACTGAAACTATTATTTGGAAAATCTGTTGCTTTTTTCCTAGGGTGGTATCTGAGAGCTCAGGTGATGATATAAATGACAAAATTATATTGCATCAGTTTTCTGCAAAGGCAGCTGTATCCCATGTGTGGGAAGCACGAGAGCAAATGAATGAGAATTGGAGGCTCACTGATATATGAGGACCAATGCACTTGGTTTTTGCCCTATTACGTACAGCTTTTAAAATATGTCTGAAAGGCTTTGATATATAAGTTTACAATTAGCCAGCAATTGTTAATTTCTCTGTAGGAAATCACTGGTTTAAATTGCTGCTACAAGTTTATTGGAATACTTGGTAGAACTGTTCCTTTGGTGTTGTCTTAGTTACTTTCTCATTCCTGGGACAAAATATCCAACATCCACAAGTTAAAGAAGGAAGACTTATGTTGGGCTCACATTTGTAGAAGTTTCAGTCCACAGTCAACTGGCTCTAAGGCAGGGCAGCCATGGCAGAGGAGAAATGGTCCATGGCGTGGCAGGTAGGCAGCAGCAAGCAGTGAGCCTGTTTTCTTTCTGTCCTTTTATATTCCATCCAGGCCATGCCTGTTAATTGGTGCCTCCTACACCCAGGGTAGTGCTGCCATCCATACCCAGAACTATCTAGGCAAATTTATTCATCATATATCATTAATCATGGTATCACCTACAATCCAGTCACCTCCCAAAAGTCCCACCTTTGAGCACATGAGGCTTTTGGGAGACATCTAGATTAAAGCCATAACGTGTTACATTTCTCTCTTCCACTTCTTAGCTAGCTAAAGTGGAAGGTACATTGTGTTTTTAATTTTTATTATTCATAGAAGTTGAGACAGTTGCTGTGTAGTTCAGGCTGACCTTGAACTCACCACATATTCCAAACTGTCCTTGAATGTGAAGGAGTCCTCTTGCCTCAGCCTCCTCCTGAGTGCTAGAATTACAAGCATATGCCACCACACCCAGCAAGAAAAGGTACATTTTAATGATGTGATAAGTATCTAAGGGGCCAAATACTTTGTGTTATCTACTTATTCTATTTTAATAAAAAATAATTACCAAATGGCAATAGCTGACTTACTATCTTAAAGCATACTTTTATTTGGTTAAATTTGAATTCCTGACTAAGAGTTTTTAAGGTTTGATTCCCTGTTACTTTTCATGTGTGCTTAGGAGAATTTCATAAAGCACAGTTCTAATTGCATTGAAATATCTTTTAGTCAGATTTTTCACCCCTCCATAATTCTGCTCAATTACACAGCACTTGCAAGTGGTTTATCTGTTCTCATAAGAGGACATCTGGTTTCCTAGTCAGGTGATAAAAATCTCTGATTGGAATTCCATATTTCATGGCTGGATGAACATTTGAATTATAGAATAAAAAATTAGCTATAAACCTCACTCATTCTTTGTTTGGATTTAGCAACATAGTACTCTCAAAAAGCTGATCTAAGTATTCAGCCAATTACTTGTCATGGCATTGGCACAAAACATACTCATGTTATCCTGACCCAGACCATTCTCAGTGACCTTCAGAAATGACATTTTGGGTTTTGTACTGTATTTCTAAAGAGCTAAGTCAGCATTTTAAAAGGCCCTTATAGATACAGCTTGATTTGCTAGGTAAGACCTGGGGCCACTCTGGACCTAGGAAATTATACCTCTTGTCAGTGTGGATCTACCCCAGCCCTGATTTTGAACAGCTGTCTGGAGGGATGAAGTTGATCACTGTTCTCCAGTCTGCCTATACCTTAATGTTCGATTACTTTTGCAAGCTCCAAATCCCAAGCAGCTGTCTTTAAAATGCAGTGTGACACACTTATGTGAGTTGATGAAACTCTGTACCTCCCATATGGACAGAACTATTTAAGATAGGTGATCTTTTCCTTTTGTCCTTAAGCTTGTAGTATTTTTTTTTTCTTTGTACCAGGGATCAAATTCATGACCTTGTACTTGCAAAGCAGGCAGCGGAACCACTGAGCTAAATCCCTGGTCCAGTTTATAGTCTTATTGAGGAAACTGATTTATAGCCAAAAAGTTAACATCTAACATGTTTAATAATGGGAAGCAAAATAAGTGGCTGGAATACTGAACATAGGTAATTCTCTAGAAGTCTCAAAGTTATAAGTCACTCAAATTTTTTTAACGTGTTGTGTTTATTATAAGCATGATCTCTTGCTTTGCTGATAAGAATCTTAGAGTGTTTAGTGACAAATGAAAAGCTAACAAGTGGCAGAATTTGGATTTCAAACCCTTTAAGCCCTGATATTATGTTACTGCCCACATAAAATTGAGACTTAGCAATGCTGGTATAAAAAGGAACAGAGCTCTGCACACTTGCGAATTTTAATCATGTGCACCCAAGCTCACAGACAAAACCCTTTCAGATGAAAGAGCAAAGTGATTTGGATTTAGATTCTTTTTTTCCTTTTCCTTTGTGAATTCAACTCAGTTAAGGTATAGAAAAATGGCCATTGATGGCGACTGGGATCTCACACTCGGAGAGAAGGAATCTTGTTCTTAACAGTTTGACATAGACACTTGGTATCTTAGACCAGAAGACTTCAACAGATAGTCCATCTTCTCATTATATTAGCTAGGTCAAGGCTGCTTACCCGCTTCTTCCATTTCCTCTGACCACCAGCATAAGTTCTGGTCCTTGGATGAGAATTTGAAGGAGATCAGCCCTCATGCAGTTGGCAGAACAAAGCTTTGTAGGCATTTGGGTTCTCACCTTGGACCCTGCTTTGATGGCCTCTTTATTTAAGCAGCAAATAAATAGTAATTGAACACTGATGACATGTTCAGTCATGTGCAGAGTGCTGAAAATACAACAGTGAATAACAAAATCTTTGCTCCATAAAACATACTGCCTCTTCCCGCAAAGAAGAAACTTGATACAAAGCAACTGGTCACATAATACATGTTCAGTTGTGCAGAGTGCTGAAAATACAACAGTGAATAACAAAATCTTTGCTCCATAAAACATACTGCCTCTTCCCGCAAAGAAGAAACTTGATACAAAGCAACTGGTCACATAATTAATTATGGAATTGAGGCATAAAGTGAGTAAAGTTATCAAAAGATGACTTCTCCGTTCTTTCTGGTTCATCAGTGATCCGTAAGACCATCCGCCGCTAGCTGTGGAAGGCCAGATCACAACTGACAGCCTCTTCTAGAGGTCCACATTTTCCCCAACCTGGGATATCAAATTTTAAATATTCTATCTGTTTGGCAATCTAAATATCTAGGAAGGAATTTCCATAATAGTTCACTTTTTTGCCTAAGGAAAATTACCAAAATAAAACAAGAACACCCATTCTAGACTATGTTCAGAATTTGAATTTTAGAAGTAGCTGAGCATGATGATTCATGCTTGTAATCCCAGCTATCAGGACACTGAAGCAGGAGGATTGTGAGTTTGAGGCTGGCCTGGGTTACATAGCAAGACCCTTCCCAAGATAAATGAATAAAACAAGTCACCAGAGCAAAAGTGAATTGGGAAGAAGATAGATTTTTGCATGTCATTTATTTAAAATAGGGAACTCAAAGAACTCACCAGTGCAGAACCTCATTGAGTACTGGGTAAAATAAGGAT